CAGACGTCGACTTGTGGTGGTGGCGGAGGGCAGGTGCGACGAGACACCAGCCAATCAGCAACAGGCAGGCAGAGGATGAGCAGTTTGCTGGTTACGGGCTGTGGCCAGGTGTTGGGGTGTGCTGGGTACGATTTGCTCTCTGGGCAAAACGTTTGGCGATACTGGTGGACGTATCTTCTATATAGTATCTTGTACTTTGACGTAATGATGTAGGGAAGAACAGGCTCAATCTCTCTTGAAAGAGATTATCGTCACAATATATATATATATATATATATATATATATATATATATATATATATATATATATATATATATATAAACGATCAAACACGTTTCGTAATAACTTATTACATTTTCAAAGACTTTAGTTTACACACACACAATTGTAACCTGAAAACAGAGTTTTACCTAATGCTAACATTGAGCAGCTTCTCTTATATACTCGCATTTGGGTGAAGTAATATGTTGCAACAATTTTTATATGAAGTGAAGAAACTTTTGACCAACACAAGACAGAACACGGTGCAATGGGTATAAATTGGATAAATGAGAGGGAAGAATGGAAGTAACTGCAAAAGGCCCATATATATACATATAAATATATATATATATATATATATATATATATATATATATATATATATATATATATATATATATATATATATATATATATATATATATATCGTACCTAGTAGCCAGAACGCACTTATCAGCCTACTATGCAAGGCCCGATTTGCCTAATAAGCCAAGTTTTCATGAATTAATTGTTTTTCGACTACCTAACCTACCTAACCTAACCAAACCTAACTTTTTCGGTTACCTAACCTAGCCTAACCTATAAAGATAGGTTAGGTTAGGTTAGGTAGGGTTGGTTAGGTTCGGTCATATATCTACGTTAATTTTAACTCCAATAAAAAAAATTGACCTCATACATAACGAAATGGGTAGCTTTATCATTTCATAAGAAAAAAATTAGAGAAAATATATTAATTCATGAAAACTTGGCTTATTAGGCAAATCGCGCCTTGCATAGCAGGCCGAGTACGACGTTCTGGCTACTAGGTACAACATATATATATATATATATATATATATATATATATATATATATATATATATATATATATATATATATATATATATGTCGTACCTAGTAGCCAGAACGCACTTATCGGCCTACTATGCAAGACCCGATTTGCCTAATAAGCCAAGTTTTCCTGAATTAATATATTTTCTCTATTTTTTTTCTTATGAAATGATAAATCTACCCATTTCATTATGTATGAGGTCAATTTTTTCTTATTGGAGTTTAAATTAACGTAGATATATGACCAAACCTAACCAACCCTACCTAACCTAACCTAACCTATCTTTATAGGTTAGGTTAGGTTAGGTAGCCGAAAAAGTTAGGTTAGGTTAGGTTAGGTAGGTTAGGTAGTCGAAAAACAATTAATTCATGAAAACTTGGCTTATTAGGCAAATTGGGCCTTGCATAGTAGGCTGAGAAGTGAGTTCTGGCTACTAGGTACGACATATATATATATATATATATATATATATATATATATATATATATATATATATATAATAATAATAATAATAATAATAATATTAATTGTAAAACCTTGTGACAAATATATATCAGATAATTAAATTTTGATAATTTGGCTAATTTAATCCTTTCATTGCAATCAATCGGTGACCAAGACAATTGGCGTCACAAATATTGTGCGCCACAAAGAATACTCTTTGAAGGTATTCTCAGCAAAAATAGATGTAATTATATGTCAAATTAATAGTGCAGGGAGAAAATAGCAACTGATTGTAGGAGTTGCCAGACTGTCAGATTCGCATCACTTTTTCCTGGCCATTCGACCGTGAGTCTCGAATATTTATGATTGTTTTCAGTAAAATTTATAAAACTCGCAAGATGATTAATGAAATATTGAGTCAAATGCTGGTGAAATTGTTATTGCAGCGGTCGTGGGCGTCGGGTATTGTCCTGCGTTTCTCTGTGTCACTTATTTTGTTATATAATCTTGTTTGGTGAAAATATTTTTTCCATTTAACTGACAAAGGTTTCTGAGGTGTGCTCACCAAATCTGTGCCAAATACTTTCTGTGGTTTTTTGTTTAGTATTGAGGTTAAAGCTTATACGGACCATGGTAGGGTTATTAAGGCCGCCACAACAACCTTCAGACTAACCAATAAGTATTCTTCAGTCCTGAACATTGATCAGAAACAGGGTACATCTCTCAGTATTCTTAGATTACTTTATTGTTAACTTCTGAGAGTCGGGGCTATTAATACTGCTAGATTTATCGAGGTCCTGCATGGGCATATTGACCTCACCCAGGATTTAAATAGAGGAATTTACCCAACTCAGGTTAAGGAAACGTTGCTCAAATGCTTCTGATCTGCCGTAGGGACTGAATCTGGGACCTTCGGATGTAAGCCGACCACGTAGACTACTGTACTATTGGACGCTTTTCAATCCCGTCTTCAGTGTTTTTTCCAAACGCTGCTTTTTCCAGGGCAATCTTTAATCATAAATAAATACAAGGAACATATGTAGTTAAGTTACAATATGGTTATCCAGTCAAGTTTGTTCAGAGCGTTCAAAGAAAACTTTGAATTGGCAAACTTTCTCCCTTGAACCATTACTTTCTCTACCCACATGCATTATATTAACACTATATTATTTATGAGGTAAGTATGGGTATGAGTATATAATGAGTGTGTACACTGTACTGAACCCGTCCCGTGTCCTACAACTTCTACTGTTACAATCCCATGTTCTCTTATCCTCGCGGGTTTTGTGCTGCATTCCTTTTTTTCTATGTTGCTTGAAGTCGCATCCAGAATCCAATTTGGTGACACCAATTGGTGGACAGATTGCCCTTTCTGTTTTATTTCACAGCACTTTGTATATATTTGTATATATAATGGATGGCACAAGAATCTCCTTTCATCCATTTACGTCGATATTGAAATATAAAATAACGTGAAAAGATTACAATAAAACGAAAAACAAATTTGGGAAACTATTTGAATGTTACCATAATGGAGTAGTGGAAAATGTTCGTTATACTCATTGTATCATACCTGGAGCATACTCGGAGAGGGTTGCGAGTGTTCGTCTGCTCCCCGAGCCTGGCCTGAGACCAGGCTCGACTTGTGATAACTTGGTCCAACAGGTTGTTGCTTGGAGCAACAGGCCCACGTAGTCACTACAGCCTGGTTAGTCCGGCACTTCTTGCAAGAACTTGTCCAAGTGCCTCATGAATAGAGACATATCACAATAGCCACATAATCAACAATTAAATGCTGAAGAAAATTACCGGAGGATCTTAACAAAGTTCATGAATGTCAGACAAATGGGAAATGAAGATGATGTGGAAATTTTTCCAGTGGAATTTATAATTATTAATTTAGTAATTTAAATTAATCATGTAGGAATTTACCACTAAATTATTTAATTAATCAAGTGGACTGTATAGATATATTTATTGCACTATTAAACTCCTCACAAACTTGGGGGTTTATCTATAATTTCAACTAAACAGGAATTAATTTGTTAATCGCATCTTAAGTGTTATCTTAGTTAAAGTAAACTTAAATTATTCTATTGTTCAAGTCTACTAATTATTAGTTATATTATTTAGAACACAAAAACAGCTTAGCTGTTATAGTAGTAGAAATTCTAGGTAGCCAGGCTGGACACGATCAGTTACATGGTCACGGCGTCTCAAGACGACCACATGGTTGTGGTGTCTCAAGGCGACCACATGGCTGGGGTGTCTCTAGGCGACCACATGGCTGGGGTGTCTCCAGGCGACCACATGGCTGGGTGTCTCTAGGCGACCACATGGCTGGGGTGTCTCTAGGCGACCACGTGGCTGGGGTGTCTCTAGGCGACCACATGGCTGGGGTGTCTCTAGGCGACAACATGGCTGGGGTGTCTCTAGGCGACCACATGGCTGGGGGTGTCTCAAGGCGACCACATGGTTGTGGTGTCTCAAGGCGACCACATGGTTGTGGTGTCTCAAGGCGACCACATGGTTGTGGTGTCTCAAGGCGACCACATGGCTGGGGGTGTCTCAAGGCGACCACATGGTTGTGGTGTCTCTAGGCGACCACATGGTTGTGGTGTCTCTAGGCGACCACATGGCTGGGGGTGTCTCAAGGCGACCACATGGTTGTGGTGTCTCAAGGCGACCACATGGCTGGGTGTCTCTAGGCGACCACATGGTTGTGGTGTCTCAAGGCGACCACATGGTTGTGGTGTCTCAAGGCGACCACATGGTTGTGGTGTCTCTAGGCGACCACATGGTTGTGGTGTCTCAAGGCGACCACATGGTTGTGGCGTCTCAAGACGACCACATGGCTGGGTGTCTCTAGGCGACCACATGGTTGTGGTGTCTCAAGGCGACCACATGGTTGTGGTGTCTCAAGGCGACCACATGGTTGTGGTGTCTCTAGGCGACCACATGGTTGTGGTGTCTCAAGACGACCACATGGCTGGGGTGTCTCTAGGCGACCACATAGCTGGGTGTCTCAAGACGACCACATGGCTGGGTGTCTCTAGGCGACCACATAGCTGGGTGTCTCAAGACGACCACATGGCTGGGGTGTCTCTAGGCGACCACATAGCTGGGGTGTCGCTAGGCGACCATATGGCTGGGGTGTCTCTAGGCGACCACATAGCTGGGGTGTCTCTAGGCGACCACATGGCTGGGTGTGTCTAGGCGACCACATGGCTGGAGTGTCTCTAGGCGACCACATGGCTGGGTGTGTCTAGGCGAGCACATGGCTGGGGTGTCTCTAGGCGACCACATGGCTGGGTGTGTCTAGGCGACCACATGGCTGGAGTGTCTCTAGGCGACCACATGGCTGGGTGTGTCTAGGCGAGCACATGGCTGGGGTGTCTCTAGGCGACCACATGGCTGGGTGTCTCTAGGCGACCACATGGCTGGGTGTCTCTAGGCGACCACATGGCTGGAGTGTCTCTAGGCGACCACATGGCTGGAGTGTCTCTAGGCGACCACATGGCTGGGTGTGTCTATGCGACCACATGGCTGGGTGTGTCTAGGCGACCACATGGCTGGGTGTCTCTAGGCGACCACATCGCTGGGGTGTCTCTAGGCGACCACATGGCTGGAGTGTCTCTAGGCGACCACATGGCTGGGTGTGTCTATGCGACCACATGGCTGGGTGTGTCTAGGCGACCACATGGCTGGGTGTGTCTAGGCGACCACATGGCTGGGGTGTCTCTAGGCGACCACATGGCTGGGGTGTCTCTAGGCGACCACATGGCTGGGGTGTCTCTAGGCGACCACATGGCTGGGGTGTCTCTAGGCGACCACATGGCTGGGGTGTCTCTAGGCGACCACATAGCTGGGGTGTCTCTAGGCGACCACATGGCTGGGGTGTCTCTAGGCGACCACATAGCTGGGGTGTCTCTAGGCGACCACATGGCTGGAGTGTCTCTAGGCGACCACATAGCTGGGGTGTCTCTAGGCACTCACATGGCTGGGGTGTCTCTAGGCGACCACATGGCTGGGGTGTCTCTAGGCGACCACCTGGCTGGGGTGTCTCTAGGCACTCACATGGCTGGGGTGTCTCTAGGCGACCACATAGCTGGGGTGTCTCTAGGCGACCACATGGCTGGAGTGTCTCTAGGCGACCACATAGCTGGGGTGTCTCTAGGCACTCACATGGCTGGGGTGTCTCTAGGCGACCACATGGCTGGGGTGTCTCTAGGCGACCACATGGCTGGGTATCTCTAGGCGACCACATAGCTGGGGTGTCTCTAGGCGACCACATGGCTGGGTGTCTCTAGGCGACCACAGTACCTAAAGCTACTCAAAGCCTTCCAACTTTAACTAAGTAATAAAGAAATATGACATATTTACCCACTATCATGTTGGTGGTGAATGGAGGACATTAAAAAATCAAACATAATTTTAATTTAAAATAATACCATTTTATAATGAAATTAGACGAAACTAAGGAGAAGGTGACGCCAAAGGAAGTCGACGATCCAAGCAACAATGTTGTGCCTATGAGTAATTAGATGGGACGCAATTTTGTTATTAATTTATATTATTTAAGAGTAAAAATATGTTTTTTCATATTCTTCATTCAGCACCAACATTATTGTGAGTAAATATTTCATAGTTCTTCATTACTTAGGTAATGCTTGAAGGCTTTGGGTAGCTTTGAGGTTTCTCTGACCGATCAGAGAGTTTAGGTGCGGTAAGAGGAATGGCCAACAGCTCATACGGGGCATGATCATTACTCTAAAGTATCGTGTAAATTAATTGACTCAATTATATCATAATCCATAACTGGATATAAATATCAACTTGTTGGCAGGCCCAGATTCTAGAATTGAGAAGACCGATGTGTTATGAGATTAAAAGAACAGTTTGTTTGTCAGTAAGGTGAGACGCCAATGTCACGTGTTAGCTTCACGTTCAGGACACCGTGATTACGTGCACCTACTCCACAGAACACATAAGCTGTTATATAACTTCTTCATATCAGGATAGAACAAGTAAAATTTATCTAACATAATTAAATAATATAATCCAATAAGAATTCCCAATAATTAAATTAATTTGCTCTAACCTATTCTATATAAACATAAATGGAAATGTTCGTTGGTTCAAAACCGCTGATCTCTGGAAGTTTTTCACCGATTGGTTAGAAATTTTGACACAACGTTCCAATCGCATCCGAGCGTGTTTTTAAATATATACTAAATAGATGTCACGTCTGTGACGGGAAAAACATGTTTTTTTTAATCTGTTTTTAATGTGAGAGGAAATCTTCGAAACCTCTTTAGCGATTGCTTTGAAATTTTGACACAACGTTGCATTTGAATAGGGGGGGGGGGAATATATATATTTTTATATGTCTACTATATACATGTCTCACCTGTGACAGGGAAAAAACATCCATTTTTTGAAAAACAGCGCCATCTGTTGGATGTAAGAACAACACTCACTATGCAAAATATGGTACAATTCCATTTTAATGTTTCTGATTTCACTGACAACGTGAATTTTCATAGATTTCGATTTATTTTCATTTTGATTTAATTATTTTGTGTGACATTGCATTGGAATTGAGCTGTGTTGTTTACCATACCGTTCAATTTTTTTCGTGCGTATAGTTTATTTTTTATTTTTTCATTGTCATTCACTTCATTTTTTTAACTGTTTTCTTTATATTTCAATGATGGTAACAGCAGCTCATTTGATGTTCCCAATTTTTTGATGGGAACATCAGATCATTTGGGAATTCATCGAACGAGGGAGTGGAGGAATGATGGGGAGGACGAGGGAACAGGGGAATGAAGAATGGTTTGGAGGACAAGGGAGTGGGGAGGAAAAGAAGATGGGGAGAGGGGAATGGAAGGGAGTACGAGGGGAAGGGGAAGTGAGAGAGATGGTGGGGAAGGACAAGGAGGACGGTGGAGTGGTGGATGGTGGGGAGGACAAAGGGACGGGGAAGGGGGGGAAATTGTGGGGAGGACGAGGGAACGGGGGAGTGTTTGGGAGAACGAGGAGATGGGGGAGTGATGGGGAGGATGAGGGGACAGGGGAAGGTTGCTGTGGCTCAGCAAGTATATTAATATATTGAAAACTCCCCTAGTTTTGGGGATATATTTGTGAAGAACATTATACGCTTCACTCACAGTGTGCCCAAAACTTGCCAGTGCAGGCTACTAAACACATGGCTCTGTATGACTAACCATCCTGCGAGATGGGGACTTGTATTACCACTGCTACCTTACTCAGTCTTGTGGTGTTGATATTCTCAAAATGCATCCGGAGTCTGCCAGTGCAGACCGCTTATCACATGCCTCTGTATGACTAACCATCCTGTGTGATGGGGATTTTTTAGCATCACCTAGTTAGCTTCTTTTTGACACACTGTACTCCACTTCATATAGTCTAGGGTAGCTGCACTAATGCAGATGTACCTCATATCTTAATAAAAAAAAAAATTCACTGCTCTATAAATTAAATCAAAATAATATAATTCACTTAATTTAATAATTAACTATAATTAATAATTGAAGTAAAATAAAAATAAAATAAATTTCCTCCCACAAGTAACTATATTTATTGTGGAAGTCTTTTTGGATTATTTTGTTTACCTGAAGGGTCTTAAATTATATGGGAATGTATAGTTTCTTAACCGCTGAGGGGAATTTATAGTAGGAAGTGCGGGGCTTAATGGAGGCAGGTTTGGAGAGCTAAGTTGCAGGATAAACGTGAGCATGGTTGGCGAGTCACTCGTCTGAGTCTATAGTGGTCCCTGTTATTAGTAGTGTTGCAGAGGGTGTTGTAACAACACTATGGACCACACTCGCCCATATACACGAGGAAATCTGACTATGATTAAAAGTGATTACACTATATGGAGAACAGGAGCTATTGCATACTTTTATAGGATTTAGCAACCAATGGATTCTGTTATCTAAGGACTGCAGACAAATGCTGCTGTGACTTTTGTTATTGAATACTAGGTGCTTGAGAACTGGATGATATTGTTCAAGATAAACATGGAAAATATGTCTCCCGTTGTCTGTTTATTAGAAATCTTCCCATTGGGAATATTCCTATTGCTCTTGGGAAAATTATTTGCACGACAGGGATCACATTATTATCTGAACTGGATCAAATGTCTCCTCCATCATCAGTTATACGACCAGCGGCTCCTGGCCAGATGTGTTTGTGTCATCAGTTATACGACCAGCGGCTCCTGGCCAGATGTGTTTGTGTCATCAGTTATACGACCAGCGGCTCCTGGCCAGCTGTGTTTGTGTCATCAGTTATACGACCAGCGGCTCCTGGCCAGATGTGTTTGTGTCATCAGTTATACGACCAGCGGCTCCTGGCCAGATGTGTTTGTGTCAGGAAGTACACATTATTTGGCTACTGCCAGTTAACTCTAGAGGGTTCCAAAACCTGGTGTACCCCCAACCTTCTGTGCCCATTAACGCTACTTGCTCCATTGGGTGTGAATGATGAAAATTACGTTCCTTCTGCCGCTTGGTCGTTCCATCCTACATCAACTTCAAATTGTTGTCTTTTAATTGTATTATCCTGATCATTTAAAACAAGGTTTGGAACTTTCAATAGTTCAACTGGTTTCGGATATTTGAGTTTAACGATTTCTGAAACGGCTGTCAATTTATCAATAACTTCAGTTGGACCCAATCCGTCATCTGTTCTCACTGCCACAGTCAAGATCCCTACACACACTTCCTGCCCTGCTACATATGTCACCATTTTATCCGATACTCGTAAGTAAGTAATTATCAAAAAAAGGCACCAAACCGGGAAGGCTATGTAGCACCATCAGACGTGCGGAATAATCAGAGGGCGCTAAATATCACCAAGGATGCCAATACGAGAACAGAAACGCATAAGGCAAAAGATATCAAAAGTATCCGATTCACTAAGAATTCTATCGAGGGACAAGTGACCGCGAGGGTCACTTGTCCTTGGTCGGAAAGCAAGACACACGCTCATCCTGGAAGTCAGGACATTCAACAAGAATATGCACGACGGTAAGAGGGACAATGCAATTTGGACAATAAGGAGCTGGGCGGCGCTCCATTAATCGTCTGTGAGTTAAGCGAGTATGGCCAGACGCAACCTCAGTAGAGCCATTTCCCACCGCCGGTTACGGTGGCAGGAGGACGGCCACGGGGACACACAATGCTTAAGAGTACGCAGTTTGTTACCAACAACAGAAGACCAACAACCCTGCAAACGGGCAAGGTTGGAGGAATGAATAACCGGGTAAAAGTTGGAAAAAGGAATACCTTTACGGGAAACGGGACAAGAGCGGATAGCCTCTCTAGCAGCAGCATCCGCACACTTGTTTAAAGAAACACCAATATGGCTGGGAACCCAGCATAACTATACGGATTTATATTTACTAGAGATAAGAAACAGCTAATGTTGAATCTCGACGACCACCGGATGGACAGGATTAAAGGACCCCGAGAGCCATGAGGGCACTACGACAGTCAACTACAGTCTTCTTCTTCTTCTTCTTGATAGTAGGTGCAGTTTGCATGAAGGGTTTGTCCTCCCGATGACTGCACCAGTACACATGTTGGTAGAGGCGTTTATGTTGAAGATGATAAGAGTTTCAAAAGTGCTTGTTGCGTTGTGGTGTAGACAGAGGAGCGGCGACTAGAACAGAGGTGTGTGTTGTAGGGAGACTTGCCGCACCGTAGGACGGTGTGTTGTGTTTATGGCGTCAGCTGATCTTGGGGCTGCCACGAGGCAGTTGTTTTCTGTGTTTAGCTGTTGGTGGTGGCGCCAGGTATAAATGTGGCGCGGATCAGATGTGACCCAATTTGTTGGTCGACTGGAGATATTTAGCCAGTGCTTTGACTATTTGGTATTTTTCTTGTAACGAGTGGTCACCGCCTCCTAATATATGCTCGATGGTAAAGGGTATTTTAAGTGAGGTAAGTACTTGTTTGAAATTTACTCTGGCACTATAATGTCGGAAGCAGTGAAGGAGATAGTGTTCGACTGTTTCAGGCACGTCACAAAGAAGGATTGACAATGAGAAAGCAGGAGACGGAGAGCATAGAGAATAGCATAAAGTTCCACTGTGAAGATGCTAATCTCCGAAGGGAGGCGACACATATAAGTGTGGTCAGGAAAAACAACAGAGTAGCCTACACTGTTCGCAGACTTAGACCCATCGGTGAAGATGGAAACGGAGTGGGAGACGGGAAGAAAAGTGC